CATATATTGAGCTTAGGTATGTATCTGTATGTATGCATGTGTAGGTATGAGTGTATGTGTTTGTGATATGTGATACTACATGTATATATGTATGTGCATATATATATTTGTGTGTGTGTATTATGTATATGTATATGTGTTTATATGTATGTATGTGCACATGTATAGATTAATGTTTTTATTTTTTTTCTTGCTTTTACACATTGCCTGTAAGCACTTTGGTCAGGTGAAGCTGTTTTAAATGTGCAATACAAATAAACTTGATTTGATTTGATTCTCACTGCTGATCAACACCTGAGTTTATTGCAGACTGTATATAAGAAGTGAACGTAACCTCTGCATTTCAAAAGTGAAGCCAATCACGGGAGTAACTTGAACCTGCATTCTTTCTAATGACCAGCAGGGGCAACTCCACTGGTGGCAAACAGAGAACTGGACTGTATGGAAGCAGTTAATAATGAACGAGCTCTGAGACAGAGAAAAGTTAAGATGACTAAGGACCCATGACTGACTGATTGTCTTTTCTTCATTTCATCTGAGGTGAGGTAGTTTGGGTTTTCATTCAGATGATTTGTTTTTATTGTTACGTTCAACGGGATGAGGGAGAAACAATAAAATAAAACCAAGGAGGAATTAAGTGTAAGAATAAGATATGACTCCGTACAGACTCGACCATCTTCTCAGATTCCACCATCAGATGATTTGGGAGCTGACTGTGCCCTGGAAGATCACATGGAGGAGGCTTACGAGAGGAAGCTGGCCAAATACCGGGAGCTGGTGGAGCAGTGTAGAGAGGGCGAGGCTGGCGGGCTCTTTGTGAGCCGATTGAAGTGGGCTGTCGGGGGTTTGCTGGGCGCTCTATCTGCAAAGCTCTGGCAGGTCTTGGTGTAACAGGAACTGTGAAGAGTAGGGCCACTCGGTGGCTTTGGATAAAGAGGGCGAGCCCGTCGATTGCTGCTGCTGGGATGCAATGCTGGACTTGATCAACCCTGGATGGGTCACCTGGGGGGAGGGGGTCTGATGTTGAAAGACCTGAAACCCCAAATGACCTCAGGAACGTCACTAATGATGCATCCCAGCTCATCCTAGAGATGTATCTTACAAACTAATGTGAGGAAAAATAAGTGAGCAATAGATGATATGTGAGGCCTTGAAACTTAACATATCTCTAGATTTCAATACTGCTCAGTAAAACAGGAAATAAATCAGATCTTTAAATGTAATCTTTCCTTTAGTCCACAACACCTACTTATGGGAAGTCCCCCCCCCATGCACTGTCCCTCACTTCAGATAAATACCTGTATAGGACTGTAAGAATAACAGAAATTAAACAGAACACTAAAAACTGTCTGAAAAGTCCACCACAAATAATGAAATGGAAAGAAACAATTAATGACGATTATAATATGGAGAGAATAACTCTTAGGAGAAGGAATTTAGGAAACGTCTTTGAGTCACGATGGAAGAAGTTAACAAACACAGATTTAATATCGGGGGGGGGGGGGGTATTTAATTGTGTTGTTTGGTCGATTAATTAAATAAACGTATAAACACAAAATAAAAACGTAGTATATCTCTAGATTTATACAGACTTGTTTCTGACTCTGACGTTGATCCTTTGATGACGTCAGTAATGTAAGTTAGTTTCTGCACTTTGTTTTATTTGGGCGGCTGTGGCTCAGTGGTAGAGTCGTTGTCTCCCAACAGGAAGGTCGGGGTTCAATCCCAGCTCCTGCAGCCACATGTGCAATGTGTCCTTGGGTAAGACACTTAACCCCAAGTTACTCCTGCTGATGTATTGGACTAAGCTTCTATAATTTATATCCATCATTGTTTGTAAACCACAGATATCCTTTGAATTTTAAACTACTAAAGATATCAAATATTAATGTAGCAATGCCACAGGTTTGTTACTTCAATCCACCTTATTCATCTTTGTTGTACAGTATTTCTATTAGAATCATGTTGTTTATGCCCTCTAGTGGTCACAGTCAGTAACTACAACATTACTACTATCAAGTCAGATGAAATCACAGTGTGTTACTTCCGGTCCCTGTCGTCAAAATAAAACATTTTTAAGATGCGCTTATGATCGTTATGTTAACAAAAAAACAATCCGAGTTATTTAAGTTCACATTCGTTGGAACATAACCAGTCAATCTTCACTTTTCTGCTCGTACTAAAAACATTGATTGTATTTTTTTATCCAAACAAATCAAATCTGTGTCGGACAAGATGTCATCAACAATTAGCTCTCTAGCTAGCAAAACTACAAGTAGGCCTACTGGAACTTTGTAGATAAATTGTGATTCGATGTAAACACAAGGATGTCGTAGGACTTTAGAAACAACTGAAGGTATCCCATAATTAATGTGAAATCATCAAAGCTTCCTTAGTTAACTTGAGAAGTCACTAACATGGGTAGCCGACGATTGAACGGTAAATAAATGAGAAGCACATTATTTATGACCTCTAGTGGTCACAGTGAGTAACTACAGCATCAATACTGTCAAGTCAAAATAAATTACATTGTACTACTTCCGGTCATCGCTGTTAAAATAAAATCATAGGGAAAGTAGAGAGAAGGAGATCATGTGAGATAATCAGTCAGTTAATCTCTTTTTCATTATAACCCCCTCCTAAGACATATTTTAAACAGCGAGCCCTTCCTCACGTCATTTTAGTTTACATTAAAAATTCCTTCAAAATGTATATTTTTTGCTTCTTTTAAAGATCTTTTAAATGAATGTTATGTAAAATGTTTGTTATTTATAATTGTTTGCCTTTACTTATGATTTTATGTCTAGACTGTTTTCCGTTTGTTTTATTATTGCTGTCCTTGTAAAACACTTTGTAGCTTGATTTTAAATTGTCCTATATATAGATGTTATTATTATTATTATAACATTATTATTATTATTTTTGAATCTTGTGTGATCACATGTAAAATAAATACATATATTTTTAGTGTGTGATCGTATGTTCACAGAGGCCTGATTATCTGATACATTTTTTATTGTAATAAATAAATGAGCTTATACTATCCCTGATCCAGAAATACAATGTATACTTTCCCCAAATTATTATTATTAAATATTTGACCCTCTCTCAGTCAACTCAATTCTTTCATACATGACGTGTTGATGATCACAGACAGTAAAAACAGAGAACTTTTACAGTTAATTCAAAGCTCTTGTTAAAGATTGTTTAAGGATAATTGTCCTCAATAGTTAAATAAATCCAAATACTCACAGCTTAAGTACAAACACTGTTTGCTTTGTTAATGATAATGCCATATGTGCTTTATTTATATTATAATTACGCTATGTATGACACAATGATTTACTGCGTCATCAATCTGTCAAGGTAGATGTTTATACAAAGAACAACTTCCGACTATCACTATCAAAATAAAAGTTTTGCACTTTGACCACAGGGGGGCAGTGTGTACTCACGGTTATACTTTTATCAACTCTGTTAAGAATAACCTCCTCAAGCTAGAAACAAGAACAAGACTATCGAGGAAGAGGAATACATCATTTCATACTTTTACCTCAAATTAATGGAGGTTGAGGCATTTTATCTCCCTCTTGATCAACAAAGTTTCTGCCGCTAATTCTAAACATCTATGCAAAGCTCACAGGAAAGTTTGTGTCCTCCTGAACAATTCACCAAAACTAGGAAGCCGTTGTTCATGCTGATTAATTAACTTTACCGAATTATAACAAAAGACTTTAATCTTTTTCTTCTATCAAACAGTGAAAGTTTGTAAAGGAACATTATCACATCGCCTTACAGCTCCCTCTTGTTAACGCTAGCTGCACTTTATGAAGGTAATGTTTGACGGAGTGAACAACACAACGCTTTAATCTATGGCCAATTAAGTTATAAAATATCTGTTGTCCAAGATAAAAATGTATTTAATGTTCATTTGAATCAACATCATGTATTCTGTCCGTGTAGCTGTTTTTAAATGTGTTTCTTGTTCTACATTGGCGTATTCAGTATCGTGCGCCATCTAGTGGCCTCAATGAAGAACTACACCCGCAGAGTCAAGTTAGATACACGTAGCGAAGAGATACTTCCGTTAAACCCTTTCAAAATAAACCTTGTATTAAAACGGAGGGATATTCCATCCTGTTCATACTGTGACTGTAATCTATGGTCAGTTTGATGAATAAAATGACAAAGCATTGTAATAGATGATTCCCTCCTCGCCTCCTTAGCTTTTAGTTAAACTCTGCTGGGCTCGTCATCAACCGGAACCGGAACACGTAACATTTTTCATCACTGGGCGCCATCTAGTGGACAACCCGAAAGCTACAACAACATAAGGGGGGGAAACATGATGGGAGTATGACGGCTGCCACACGGCTGATATCAAGGTTGACGCTGGTCACTGGTAAATATATGTTGTAAGATACATGGTGTTGTGTGAAGTGAGACGTTTAAGGACATGCCCTTTTCCCTTTTCAAGATGTTGCGTTCAAAGCCGTGTGTTTTTCTGCAATCTTCTTCAATTCACCAAATCAAAGCAGCTACCTACTGCAAGTAGCTTCTGATATCAAAAAGTTTGATCTCCAAAGTAAGCTGACAATGAATTCATTATTTTAGTGTAACCGTGATTCTATCAGTGATTTCTAAATCAGTACCTCGAGCAGATCGGACTGAATTAAGTTTGATGACTTGAAATGAGAGTGAAGGTGAAAGTGTAGCTGTCATTCTGGCTGTGTGTATGCTATCAATAAGACCTGCAACCATTTCAGAATGAAATGATCTGCCGTTGAATTGTGAAAATACTGAAAAAGGAAACATGTTTAAATGCCTCAGAGTTTAAATCTTTAAATGTCTGGTTTTGTCCGACTTAAGGTTCAAAACTGTAAAAAATGCAATACAGTGTGGATACAGTGAGTGACTGAAAGGATACATGTATTATGAGAATTGTGGCTTATTAATTGTCTTCTTTGACTGATGGAATAAACATTAAAGCTGTATTATGAATGATGAAGCATCACTTGTCCTCTTACATTTTCACATAGAAAAGTGGACTCAAGGTTTTTGAAGACAGAAGAAAGAAAGAAATGTGATTGGGCGCAGATGATTTGTGAATAACAATTGGTCATGTAGCCCTGAACTGTTGGGCTAATCAAACTGAAAATCAATCACATCAAGTCAGCTTCCTGTCCTGTGTGTTTTCTTGTCGTCCTTGATTGATATTTGTTTTTTCAGATACTTCCAGAGTGGATCTTCTGTCACACTCAGTCTTTCCTCTGCAGCGTTGTGTTTAAAACATTCTGTCACTCTGGTAACTTCATGCTACTCTTTTCCCTCCCAGGAGGAGGCAGTGGGATCGGACGGGCGGTATGTCAGCGTTTGGCCTCTGAGGGCGCCTCCGTGGTGGTGGCAGACATCAGCGAGGAGTCTGCCAACGAGACCATGGTGGGTCTGCAGAATGAGCTCAGAGGACAGGGTCACATGGCGGCTGTGGTGGATGTGTCATCAAAAGAGAGCGTGAAGAAGCTGGTCACCAGAATACAGGTGTGATACAGACAGGAAGACAAGCCAACACAACATGTGTTTACATTTCCATCATAATCAGCAACCTTTCTGTAGAAAAAGGTACTTTTCTCTCTGTGTGTTTTCATGCTGGAGGGGCTATTCCACGTGTTGTTTTTCTCTCCTTGTAAGTTATTGTTCTGTTCCTCTACACACTCATTACTTCCAGCCTCCCTCAGTGTGTGTGAACGCAGCAGGCATCACGCAGGACCACTTCCTGCTCAACATGGAGGAGGATCACTTTGACAGAGTCATCCAGGTCAACCTGAAGGTATGAAGCAAGTTCAGCGTGTAATCGAGTCTATCAGGTTAACGTCAGAGGATGACATCACAATCTAATAACTAGGGATGTGCCCGTTAGTCCACTTAAAGGTTGGAAGTCATCACCCTCACTAGTCGGCACCAGAATTACAAGTTACAAATGATTCATATTTTTAGATGTTGGCCCTCGATGCCGGTTCATTTGTGCTCAAATTGCAGCACTTCTTAAAGCACTCTTCTTCCATCACTGCTGTTGAGACATAACGTGGGTCGACTTTGTGAGAAGAATCAGAAAGAAAGAAATCAGTCTCTGTTGTCTTCAACAGGAAACAACCGAAGATTCAAGTTTCTCGTTGTTGCACTTGAAGAAAAGAATTCATAAAATGATTCTCTCACAAAACTTCTAAAAAACTGCACGAGTGAACGCAAACAGACACATTTCTACTCCGACTTTATCAGATTCAGATTCAGATTCAGATTCAGAGTTTTGATTGTCCCACAAGGTGAAATTTGCGTTGCAACAGGAGCACACAGAAGACAAGAAACACAAGGACAACATCTCCATAAAACATCAACCAAAACTAATTAAAAAAATCAGACAACACAGCAAAATATAAAACCAAATTAAAACAGCGCAATATAATCAGTCAAGAGCCCGGACCAGAATGGAAATTCAAGTTCTTGAAGTGCAAAGTGGAGGTGTGCAAATGTGCAGTTCAAGTGCAAAAAGAGCAACAAATAGCTAATTGTTGTTTAACAGATTAATTGCACTTGGTAAAAATGAGACCTGGAGTCTTTTAGTCTTCCTCACAGGAGCTCTAAAACGACGACCTGAGGGTCAAAGGTCAAACTCACTGTGAAGTGGGTGATCTGGGATCACAAGTATGGCCCTAGCTTTCCTCAGGACCTGCTGATTATAAATGGTCAAAAGTCAAACAGCAGGTAACGTTTTTCCAGCTTTAAGGCAGGGTTTTGAAAGTAGCATTTCCTCAGTGCTCCGTCTACACCAGCCTCCTCCTTCTGCCTCTGTATTTCTTGTATCCAATGACAGCGAGGCCGAGAAGAACGAGTGCAGCGATGATGGCGATGATGGGGATGACGGTGTTCATGGGATTCACTGTTGAGCACAAATCAACAAACCACAGTTACAACCTGTGCAGATGAAGCAGGTTAGAGGAGGAGAACATGTGCCAAGCAGACAATCATCATCCTGTAAATAAACACTGTTTGTCCTGCTGCTCTTCATTTGAATCTCCACTTGTCTGTAAATAAATCCTGTATCTATGTTTGATTCATCTTCCAGTCGTGTTGTCGTCCTTTATCTGAATGCTGATTTCTTTATATGTTGATGTTTCGCTCTGAGAGATTTTGACAAACGGATTCAAACTCATTTTGACTGAACGAGGAAAAGAAAACTCACCGTGAATGATTTACTGACAGATATATTTATACATCCAGTAATTCATCAACTTGATCTTCTCTTCAACTAAAGGAAGAATGAGTGACTTTTTGATCCAGTAGATGTCGCCCTTGAGCAAACCAAAACAAACTGCTGTTTGGCCACGCCTCCTCCACACTCAGAGACATTCACACAGGATAGACTGGATTTCTGATATATTTATGTGTAACATGTCACACATTCATCCTTTAAAACTTTAACTTTGAGAAGTCAACACAGTGCCTTTAATCTCTCAAAATAAACATGTTTGACTTTTCTTCAACAACAGCACTCTAACTGTGTTTGATTCAATCGTTTTCTTGATGGATTTAAAAACTGAAAACACTAAAAAATAAAATCTAAAGAGAAACTGAAATGAAATGATGTGGCTGTAAATGAAAAAGAGATGCTAACATGTGAATCATGATTTTTCTCCCTGAGATCTGAGATCACGATTCTCTCACATGATTCTTTTTTTTTTTTTTTTTCAACTTTTAAGTGAAAACTGCATCTTGGGGTCTCCCCTCAGAAAAATGTTAGCATCAGACATTTCTTTTCCTGCATTCTGATCATTATTTATGCTCCACTTTGGACCTTTTCTGCACAGCTTTATGATTATGTTTGAATCTTTTGGTCCTTTTTTGTGTCTTTTTCAAATCTCTCTCAGTGTTCATCAGACACAATGATGAGTGCTTTCATTTGAATACTTTAATAAACATGTGGACTGGAGAGTTGAAGTAAATCTGCACTATTCCAGCCCTGCAGCTTTATTCATCTCTCTCTCTCTCTCTCTCTCTCTCTCTCTCTCTCTCGCCCTCTCTCTCTCGCCCTCTCTCCCTCTCTCTCCCTCCCTCTTTCCCTCTCTCTTTCTCTCTCTCTCTCTCTCTCTCTCTCTCTCTCTCTCTCTCTCGCTCTCTCCCTCTCTCTCTCGCCCTCTCTCCTCTCTCTCTCCCTCCCTCTTTCCTCTCTCTTTCTCTCTCTCTCTCTCTCTCTCTGTCTCTCTCTCTCTCTCTCTCTCTCTCTCTCTCTCTCTCTGAGTGGATTGTGAGTGGCAGCGTGAGCTTCGTCGTGAGTTTCAAACTTTTGAATGTTTGTGTGTTATTTTTCTTTCTTTGGTTAACATAGTTTGTGTTTAGTAGTTTGTTGTTGTTTAGTTGTTTGTTTACCAGCTCGGCTGGGCAGCATGCCCGTCGTAGACGTGGAGCAGGACTTTGAGAAGCTGACACGCCGACATGCAGTGAAGTTGGTGCCGGCTGTCAGCTGCTCGGTGGAGGAGGCTGGTTTAGCGGTTGGAGAGGTGGTGGGTTACGGCAGCGTGAGGTCTGCCTCCCGCATGAACGGGGCCATTGTTCTTTTTTTAGATAGCACGGCTAAAGTGAACGATGTGGTCGAACAAGGTGTCGTCATTAAGGACACTTTCACCTCTGTTCTCCCCTGATCAACCCGGCTAAAAGAGTCACCATCTCTAACGCCCCCGTTCATTAAAAATGAAATGTTGTTAAAGAGCTGTGCAGGTATGGGCAGGTAGTGTCCCAGGTGAAGATGGAGTCCCCCTGCTCAAACACTTGTTTGTCACAGAAGACAAGTTTTCATGGTCATGAAAACAACTCAGATGATCTTAATTTGTCTTTTAATTTCAAAGTCGATGGTTTTAATTACATGGTGTTCGCAACATCAGCGACCATGAAGTGCTTTGGGTGTGGTGCAGAGGGACATTTAATCCGCTCATGCCCGGAAAAAAATGTTCATGTGCGGGGAAATACTCAGGCAGCACCGGCTGCTGAGGTCACGGCGGCTGCTGTGACCCCGGGCCGTCTGCTGTGACCCCGGGCCGGCTGCGGCTGCAGACGCGGTGCCGGTCGATGCTGCCGCCGCGGAGCTCGGCGGAGCTGTCGCGGTGCTCGGCGGAGCTGAGGCCGCTGTAGCGGGTCCTAGCGGAGTTCTTTCAGACAGAGCTGCTGCTGGGCCTCAGAAAAGTAAAGTGTCTGATGTGGAAGAGCTGTCAGTGGTCAGTGATGAGGGCCAGGTAAAGAACAGGAAACAGGGAGACAAAGAAAAGGAGATAACTGAATGTGATTTAAGTGAGAAAGAAAAAAGTTTGATCAGTGAAAGTCAGGAGGTAAGGCAGGAAAGTAATAATAGTGTGTGTGTTGATTATGTTGAAGATGAGGATATGTCTGATGAAGAGTCATTAAAGATCTCTCAGAAGAGGAAGAGTGAAAGCTTTCAGGGCAGTACTAAAGCAGTGAAGAAGGACAGAAAGACAGGAGCAGGAAGAGCAGAGAGTGACAGTGAGCTCATGTCCACACAAGAAGAAGGACCAGTCACTTACACCTCAGCTCACATTAAAAAGTTTCTACAGGACACCAAGGGCCTCAGGCTGCTCAATTTAGAGGATTTCTTTCCAGACCTGAAGTGTTTCTTAAGTTCAGCTCGGCCTTTAACTAGGAGCTCCAGTGCTTTTGGGGACGACAGCCTCACAGGTCAAGAGATCTTTCGTCTCAAAAAACTGATCGGGAAAGCGAAAGCACAAATCAGCGATGACGATGTTTAGACTGTGTCTCATCTCTTTCCTCTTGTTGTGGTGAGGCAGGGCTGCTCATTATCTGGAATGTTATATTCCTTAGCCATTGAACCCCTGCTTCACAGACTGAGGTCAGGTCTCTCTGGTGTTCGTTTTCCTGCCTCTGAAGTCAGTTTTAAATTGTCAGCGTATGCTGATGACGTCATTGTTTTTGTCAACCAGCAGAGAGATATCGATGTTTTAAAAGAAACTGTGATTTTGTTTGGGTCGATATCTTCTGCCAAAGTGAACTGGCTGAAAAGTGAAGCAGTGATGGTGGGAGAGAAGCTGAGGGGTCGGCTCAGTCTGCCTGGAGGCCTCTTTTGGAAGTCAGGAGGTTTTAAATATTTGGGAGTGTTTTTGGGGAATGAAACTTTTGTCAGTAAAAACTGGGAGGGTGTTTTAGAAAAAGTAAAAGGACGTCTTGATAAATGGAGGTGGCTGTTGCCAAAGATGTCTTTTAAAGGTCGTGTACTTGTGGCCAATAACCTTGTTTCCTCTGCCCTGTGGCACAGACTGACCTGTATCGACCCTCCGTCCTCTCTCCTGTGGAACATTCAAAGAGTGTTAGTTGATTTCTTTTGGGACAGGTTACACTGGATTCCTCAGAGTGTGCTCTTCCTCCCTAAAGAGGAAGGAGGACATGGACTAGTTCACCTGGCCAGCAGGGGGGCTACTCTCCGCCTGCAGTTCCTCCAGAGACTACTCACTGGGCCTGCAGACCTGGTCTGGAGACCGCTGGCCTGCTGTCTTCTACAGCGGTTTGGAGAACTGGGGCTGAGCTCGTCTCTGTTTTTAATGGATTTACAGCAAGTGAACATTTCCTCTGTCACTGGATTTTATCAAAGTGTTTTTAACGTGTGGAGTCTGGTGAACAGGCAGAGACAGGGACACTCCCACTCTTTGTACTGGCTGCTTAAAGAGCCGGGTACTGTTTGGAGGTCGTTTTCATCTTCCTGACTGGGCTGGACCGAGCCTGTCCGGAAAGTTCTGCAGTGCCAGGATTTCCACTCTGGAGCAGGTGGTGGAGCTGACGGGACCTCAGCTGGACTGTCCTGCTGGTCTGGCTGCTGGTCTGGGGGTGAGGTCGACCAGAGTCGTTGATCGGTTGCTGAGTCACTGGAGACATCAGCTGACAGGACAAGAGATGTCTCTGATATCGGACTATGGGGACGGTTCTCTGCTGCCCGACCAAACTGACCCGTTTCCTGAGTTCAGTCTGTCTGCAGACCTGAAGGACTGTTCTGGTCCTCTACTGGCCAACGCTGCAGGAAAGACTCTTTACAAACTGATTGTTAAGACTTTGAATAAAAAGACACTGAACGCACGCAGTGACACCCCCTGGAGGACTTATTTGGGGCTAGCTCCTGAGTTTAGACCCTCCTGGGAGTCTTTGTACAAACCCCCCTTGTGTAAGAGACATGCAGACCTCCAGTGGAGAATCCTGCATGGAATCATTGCTGTGAACTCTTTTATCTCTGTTCTTAATGTGAATGTTGTTGATCAGTGTCCTTTCTGTGTGCACAGGGAGACGGTGTTTCACTGTTTTTTACAGTGCAGTCGGCTGAAAC